CAAAACCCTTAGCATATTTTGCGGTTTTTCCCTTGATTTATTAGTGACGTTTTAGAGCTAAGGATCATGTGGAATTGTCTAGCAGCACGGTTACATCGTTACAGAATAAAAGTTACATAATATCTGTAACACTCCTGGATTAAAAGGGCTCCCATTGAACACGGTATATTGAGACTGCATAAAATTTGTTATTCAAACAAAAGCAGCGTCTGCAGGCTTATTTTTCTCTAAAAAATTATAAACCCAAGATGTTCTCACGTATGAGAGAATTGCGTATTAAATTTTTATAATTACAATATATTCATGAAATCAGCGATATCCACAGAATCAATCAGACTCTTCTTTGAAAGATTGAGAGTCAGTCTTAATGTTCTGTAAATGACCAACCTGATAAAGTAAAAAATTGATGTCGAAAATTTTTCACATATTTACACAGTTAAATGCACGTCGTAACCAGTGGATGTAAAATTGATGTTCTTCTCAAACTTTCTTTATGTCATCTTCATGTAAGGCTATTTAATGCTTTATTTTCTGCAAGGTTGGCGAGTGCGTATACTGATACGTTTTAATGTAAGAAGTCTTAGAAAGCGACGCAGTTTGGGTTTTTCAATGACGTTGACTCGAAGTGTAGAGTAAAAAAAAATAGTGCGGATTGGCTTTTGTGCATCTTCTGATTGGGTCCCCTGTAATAACCTAGAACATGACAGTTTATTAGAGTCAATCAAGCGCTGCGGCAATCTAGACTCACTCATACACAAAGTTGTTTTTTAGATCAAAATAAAAGATTGTTATTTTGAAATATATCCTGTTTTGGCATATGTACGTTAAACCTAAGATAGAAATTTATCTGAGGTCGTTTTGTTCCCAGGGAACGAATTTCTTACAGAAGACAATATCTATTGAAAACTGTCTTAATGAACCCCCGCCTTTATCATAGTCGGAATATTCAAAACAACTGTGTCTAAGAAAGCCTCTCTATTCATAATTTAATAACCTTTGCAGTAACCATGTAGTGATAGCCTAGGTAGTCTAGCAAAATAATATTACTGTTGGGGTTCTCGTTCATATTCACAAACGCACAAAATGATTACAATACGTACACTGTGAGAAAAATCAATAGTCAAGCTAACAGTTCCAAAACAAGAAATCCATCAAAAAAATTAAATAAATAAAAGCATGTGGAATCGATGCATAGCCGTACGATACCTAAGCACTCTAATATGTGCGATCATGTTCATCAACATCCTGTACCAGGCTATCAGTCAATCAGCACAATCAAAAGGTGCCTTGTTTAGGAAGTCGCTAAGCGTCGCTCACCTCCTATTTCAATTGTTTTCCATTACTGATGGCTTTAAACAGGCTACTTTCACCAATTAAAAAAGTTAAAGCTCCACGAGGAGGTAAAGAAAGATATGTATTAAGAAATTATTCTGCTTTAGAACAACAAATGGGACAAAAGAAAAAAA